TTTCGAAATGTTTGAGGTGTTCCCCGGGTGTTTTCGTGACTATTACATGATTTTAGACCCCCGATAGCTTATTTTCAAGCTTAAGTGTTGAGAAAATGTATTTTTTAATTTATTTTTGAAACCGGGAGTTTCATACTAGTTCCGTAAGTTTTCAAAACTTACATCAGTCTCTCCCGAGGTATTCAAGGTGTTCCCTGAGCCTTCTCGTAACTATTTCACAATTTTGTCCCTGATGGCCAATTTTCAAGCCTAATTGTTAGAAAAGTGTATTTTTCAAGCGCAGAGTCTCGTGCTAGTTTCATAAGTTTTCACAACTTACATTGGTCTCTCCCGAGATGTTCAGGGTGTTCCTTAGGCCTTCTTGTGACTGTTATACGATTTTGACCCCCGATGAGTTATTTTCAAGCCAAAGTTTTAAAAAAGTACATTTTTTTGACTTAGGGGTCATTTGAGATGTTCAAAATAAGTATACTTTTTGCCTTTTTATATAAAAAATAAAAAATAAAAAATGTGTCGATAAGTAGCAAAAGTGATTAGAAAAGTAAATAGAAAATGCTGATAGATGTTGATTGATGTGACTCAAATAAGTATATGTAGATAAAAAAAAAGTGCACTTTTTTAGTTTATTCCAAACACATACTTAGTTTTCAGACCGAGAGTCCCGTGCTAGTTTCGTAAATTTCTACAACTTACATTGGTCCCTTCCGAGATGTTAGGTGTATGCCAAACCTCAAATTGTGTTAAAAAGATTAATTTTAGCAACTGATACATTAAGTTATTTTCAAAAAAACTTCGCCACTACAATCCAATTAGAAATTTACCAATTTAAAGGAAAATTCAAAAAATCACCGCACAATGCATTGCAACCAATCGACCAACTGTTAGCTTGCAAAGAGAAAATTACACAAAACATTTTCAATCTCTTAAGGAAAATAAATATTAAAAAAAAAAAACAAGATATTTGGATCTCATTCAAATTAAACCTTTTTTTCTTTTAAACAAAACAAAAACATCTCAATTAGGATAAAAACTGTTCATTAATCACACTTTACATAAGAAAACATAAACTCGAAGGTAAATACCAGACTCAATTGTTATTTTAGTCTCCATTTTTTTTTTTTTTTTTATCAGAAAATAGTAATATCCATTAAAATAGCTCAAAAGCAGCTACAAAGAGAGGAATCCATCCAAAAACAACTTACACCAACAAAGGTAAGAGAAAAAATCAAAGAAACTACAGCACTAAATCTATGAAGAAATGCCCAGCTACACATCAAGTACTTGTGCTCGTACTGCAAGCAGAGGCCGACAGGCAACCGTAGAGCATGTCGAGGATAGATCATAGAATACATCCACAAAGTGGGTAAGTAACACTACGTACAGATGGATTCCTAAAACAAAACCAAACTAAAATAAAACAAAAACAAAAGAAAGCCAAAACTCAACCGCCGACTGAATCGGTAGCAGATCTGTAGCAGATCTTCACCCAACGAGTTGGAGGAGGAGAACCCAGGAGCCCAGACGGGGGAGGCAGCGGAACCGGCAAGAGGAGGTAGATATGGTGGCGATGTGGTGGTGGCGACGCCGGCGTGAAGCTAAGAGGATGGAGTCGACGGATCTGGTGAAGGCTGCGGCTAGGGCATGGCAGAGGGAAGGAAGAGTGAAGAAAACTAGACTAAATCCACCAAAAGGGGAAAAAACACCTCACCGGGAGGGAGAAGATGGAAAGCTAAGCTTCCAAGGCTTATTGACTAGAAGGGCCGAGGGAACTGAAGAAAAAAGGGGGTAGAGAGGAGGAGATATGCGGCCGGAGGCCGGAGCCCCCCTCCCCCACCCCAACGGCGCTCAAAGACTAAAACCCTAGGAGCAAAAAGCGTTAGATAGAGAGGCTCTGATAAATAACGTATTTATCTGAATTAGTTGTTGAACAACACCTTTTTGACAAAGAATGTATAATATAATAGTAGAATGAGATCTGTTCAAAAAATTTAAAATTCTATTTTAAATTTAGAAAAAGCTATTTCATTCCACTTTACAGTCTGAATCTGTAGCAGCAAATTGCCCAAGTAACAAAGTTGCTTGTCTTTGGCTCTGTAACCAACAGGAACTGTAATTGAAATCAAAATATTATTAGGATACAAAAATTGAAGGAAAAGTAGGCGAGGGGCAACAAGCTCCAAATTATTTAGAGGCTTAGTTCCTACAATATGAATTTGTGTAGCCAAAACTCTAAAAATAATATTACAGCAGAAAATCTATGGACCATTGAATGAGTTTTCTTTTTATTTTATTTTTTCTCTTACTAGTTTCTTTGGCTGCTTGTTCTTTCTCTATGAACACGAAATTAGTTTCAAATTTTTAGTTTCACCAAACCATTCACGCTACATCTAGTTTTTTCACCAAACTAGTGTCTAGTTATTTAGAAAACATATTCTGAAAAAACCAAATAGCGTTTTAGTATAATAAAATGGACCATCTATAAAAATCCAACAGCTTTTCCCCCTATAAAAATGTGAGGAAAACAAAGTTCCCAAATTGACTTCTTTTACTCTTCTTTTTTCAAAATTTTTTCAAGTCCAAACTGTGACTTCTTAGCATCACAAGTAACAACATTTGAAGTTTTCAGCAATAACTTTTTCAGATATATCATCTTAAAGTGACAAGTAAACCTTCTTTAACAATTCTAAATATAAGAGGTTACCACATCATGTCATGGTTAAACCTTAACACACAACCAGAATTTGAAGGGGGGAAAAAACGCTATAATAGCAATGAAAAATGCATCATTTAATAAGGGAAGGGATTGAAAGAGAGACATGCTCTCACTAAGTCGTGCACACTACATTTAGAACATCAATAACATAACCTTCTTCTTCTTCTTCAATTATATTATTATATATTATATGAATATAAAATGAATGAAATCTAATTTTTGGATTTTAACAGTTTGATTGGTTTAACCATACAAATCAATCCAACAGAAATCCTATTACTGATATCCAATAGATGATTTGCATTTCCCCAATAAAACGAACAAGAAAAAGGGAAGTCATCTTAGTTTTTTGTTTTGCTTTGTTTGTTTGTTTGTTTTTAATTATGATACAAATCAACCAAATTTATCAAGCATTGAATAAAAAATGATGATGAATGAGGCAAAATAATGTACCTCTGGAACATGGAAGAAAACTACCCTTTCTTCTTTCTTTTTTGTTATCTTTTTCTTTGGCTTTTCTTTGGAAATCATGTTAACAACAGTATCAGTTTTCTTCCCGCTTTTGGCTTTTAGCTTATGTAGCTTATTTACATCAAAAGCACCATTGTGAGAAACTAGCAGAACAAAAGAGCAGCACAAACAAAGAAAATCATGGGAAAAACACAAACAAAACACCTATGGCACAACCCTGTTTGCTGAAGAATAACTTAGCCAAGTGAGGCAGCATAATTATGGGAAAAACACAAACAAAACACCTATGTCACAACCCAGTAAGAACTTAGCCAAGTGCAATAGCTAAACCCAACCATTTATAGCAGCAAACCACCCACCTAGTCACTACTAATTAGCTATAGCAATGAATCATCCTATTCCCCTGCTACAGAATCTCACCTAATGTAGATTAGATACTCTAAATCACTAACAGAGTATGATAATCTTGGTGCTGTTGATATATATATTTAGGAATTTCATAGTATTTCCAAAACCACAAGAATCAAAGAAAATTACTAAAATTCTGAGGAAAAAAAAATTATACTATCAAAGAATCAAGTTCATATATATACACGCCAAATAAGCTCTTCAAAATTACTTTAAAAAAAAAAAAAACCCACAAATTAGGGAGCAATAGAGAGAGAATGAGAGTGAAAAGGAGTTACTTGAGAGTAGCGAAGCCAGTGGCACTAGTGATTGAGAGCAACGACCGCATTGTGTAGAAAAAAACCTGTTAGGGTTCATAAATTAGGGCAAGGGAGAAAGAGGAACGAACTACCTGGTTGATAAGAGCGGTAAAGAGACGAATTATCTGTTGAATGAAAGCGGCGGAACCAGTCTCGTCGTACCGTCGGAGAATGAACGGAAAGAGTAGATACTGTCACTGTTGGAGATCAATGAATACCAATTAGATGAAATCCTCGCTAAGTAGTTGCCGATTGTCGACATCTCTAGGTCCCTAGCGATTGTCAACGTCGACGCTCTCCATAGTCAACGTCGTTGGTTATCACGCCTCTCACCGTTCGTTGTCTTCAAAGTTCAAAGGGAGAGAGAGAGAGAGAGAGAGAGAGGAGCGAGAGAGAGAGAGAAGAGACCAGAGATGGAGATGAGAACAAGGGTTTTGATTCGACATTCAGTTAATCAGCCATCAACAAGAAGGAGAGAGAGAGAGAGAGAAAGAGAGAGAGAGAGAGAGAGAGAGAGAGAGAGAGGTGATTGAGACTGAGAGAGCGCGCGAGAGAGAAAGAGAGAGACGCCGCTGAGAGAGAGAGCTGAGCAAGAGGAGAAGAAGATGGGGGGAAATTTGGGGGGGAATTTTGGAAATAATTTGTTGATTTTTTTTTTTTTTTTTGGGGTTTTTTTTGTAGACGTGGCAAACGGACAGATTTGAACGAATCAAAATAGGTTTTGTATTAAAAATTTGTTTTAATTTTTGAAAATTATTTTTTAAGTTTTTAATAGTATTTTTTTTTATTTTTTGTGAATTTTTTTAATATTTTAATCAATTCAAAAATGATTACAATATTAAAAAGAGCAATGCTATAAACTACTAATTTATCATCACTAACCTCACCACTAGTGAGGTGGCAATTGAAAAAAAAAAAAAACAAGGCACAAAACACATGTGGCAGTGGGTGGGACCCACTGCCACATCATTAGAGCCACCACTAATTAGTGGTCTAAAGCATTTTTGTATTAAAAAAGTTCACTACAAATTTAAAAAAAATAAGAATTGAAACTTGAAAAATAGTTTTCGAAAACTGAAACCAAACGAAATCGATTCAAACTCACCTATTCAATAAAGGGGTTTAAATGGGTTCGGTGGAGGTAGAGTGCTAGTGATGGTGGTAATGGAGCGGCGACAACGGTAATGGTAGTGGTGGGGCAGTGGTAGTGGTAGTGGTGGTGGAAGTAGTGGAGAGATGATGGTGGTAATGGTGGTGATGCCGTGGCAGGGGCGGCGATGGTGGAGCAGCGGCAGTGGTGGTAATGGTGGTGGTGAAGTAGTAGCAATAGTGGTGTAATGGTGATGGTGGTGGTGGTGGTGGTAAAGTGGTGGCGGTAGCAATGGTGGTAATGATGGTGGAAGAGAGTTAGTGGCGGCAGTGATAGAGTGGTGATAGCGGTGGTGGAAGATAAGTAGTGATAGTAGTGGTGGAGTGACAACGGTAGTAGAGTAATGGCGATAGTGGTTGTGAAGTATTGGCAGTTGTGGTAATGGAAGTGGAGGAGTGGTGGTGGTGGAGTAACGATGGTCGTAATGAATCCGTGGTGGCAGAGATGGTGGTGGTGTTGGAGTAGTGGCAATGGTGGTAGAAAAATCCATTTAAACAAGTATTCATGTCTAACCCAAAGAGGGCTTGATAGGAATTAATTTGGGCAAACAAAGAGGGCTTCTCACTTATAGCATAAAACAACGTTGTTTTGCATAATAAAACTATAAGAGACGAAATTATTTCCTTACGGAAAATTTTGTATAATGATGACTAAAATTTTCGTCTCTAAAATAAAGCCCAAATATTCCGCAAAATTTTCCAAGGCGGGAATTTTTTTTTGCGACGAAAAATAAAATATAGAGATGAATAAAAATTTTGTCACCTATTGTTTTATTGATTTTAAGCATTTGGTAACGAAATTTGGTTTTTCTCTCTAAAAATACTATAATTGGAGACGAAATCTTACTTTTATCTCTAAAACATGTATATTTGGAGACGAAATTATTTTTCATCATGCGTTTTCATCACCAAAGACCTTTTTTTGTTGTAGTGGAAAGAGTTGTGACAAGAGAGAGAGAGAGAGAGAGAGAGAGAGAAAGAGAAAGAGAGTGAGGTTGCGATCACGTTCTGGTTCGTAGATTGTGATATTTGGTCATTGAAGGAAGCAATGTTGATCGTCTGTGTAACGCTCCGAATTTCTAGCCCAAATGATAATACAACAATCATGGCTCTTTCTAGGAAAACCGAATATAAATCTCAAAACTTACATTACACGATACAATAGTTCTTCATGCAACAATACATTAATCCAACAACAAGTAAATAAACAAATAAATATCCCCAAAGGGTTTACAAGTTTCCAAGGCTTGAGTCTTGTTACACAAAATAGTTATTCAAACCAAACAAACATAGCCCTTGGCTTACATACAGAGTCACGGCAAAATGAGAGCATTGTACTCTCAACACACATACTTCCACTCCCCTAGTTGGGTGGGATCACCACATCTTTTCCTGCACAAAAATCCCGTAAGGTGAGCATAAAGCCCAGTAGGAAATTCTTAACAAAATATGTACATTTTATACAAGTCTCAAGAGATGAAATGCACATGCCATGCTATGCCCTTTTTGAAGATAAATCACATTTTCATCTTTTGAAAACCATCATGCTTAATGATATCATGCAATTTCAATTGTTCAAAACTTAACAATTTATTTCAAGGGTGGTAAATACGACTCTGGTAATCCCTAGGTCAGTGTCTGCAAGTAAACCATACAAGTACTACCAATTTTTTATTTTTACCAGTATTAACTGGAGACTCGACACCTATAATCTGTCATTTTTACCAGTATTAACTGGAAGGCTCGACACCTATTCAATTTCATCTACACCACCTGTCAAGACTTACCACTGTATTTACCCCAAAACTAATTCATGGAAACTTGTTTCTCAACATTCTTTTCTCAATGCAAGTTTTCAAACCAACTTTCAAAGTTTAATGTAATCAAATAAATTGATATGCCAATAACACAAGATGAATATAAATACTTTTATTCTAATTCATCATCCAAGGAATAACACAATTCCCTCTTCTCAAGTATCCTCAACGATTAGTCATTTCAAGACTATTTCAATGTTTTGAACAATAATTTTCAAAATGAACAACAATTCTCATATTCCCTGAAATTCATCATTTATATAAATATAAATAAAAAATTTTCCAAACATCTATTTCAAATTCTAGGTTTTCTCACCAAAACTATACAACTCAAATCTTTTGAAAGAAAACTTTCCAAAATCATATTTTCTTCAATCAACGAAGATCAAAACCCATAAGATCATTTTAAAAGAACAAGAGACAAACCCACTTTCAAAATCGCTCAACTTCTTGAATTAACAATTAATTTTCAAAGCTATCGGAGGATGATTTTGAAAATCATCTAGATCTTGCAAAAATATATATATAACTCTAAGAAAATCCCTACCTCAAGTTGCGAAGAAGAAATGAGATGAAACCCCCAAAATCAATGGTGTCCAAACTCGATCTTCACCGCACACAACGAAGCTCTCGAGATGATAACCAACTTTGGTGAAGAACTTAGGTCTAAATCCCAATAGATTTGGAGAAATGAAAGAAAGAATATGACTTCTAGAGAGAGAAGTTCCCGATCTGAAATTCTGGAGAGTTTTAGAGAGAGAGGGGATTGAAAAAGTGATCTGAAATATCAGATTCACGAACTGATATAACATGGTCTGCTCGGACGTGGAACGCCCCGCTCGAGCGTCAAATATAGTAACTCAGTACTTTTGCAGACAGGTCAAACTTCTGAAACCAAACATTCTCTGCTCGAGCGCATAAACGGCCGCTTGAGCGGACAAGCAACTTCGAATGCATTTTACATTTTTGTTTTGGGGGCGCTACCCTAGGACCCCCATGGACCCCCACGAGCTGACCGGGCAGCTCGACCCCCACCAGGGCGCTACTCTTGGACCCGCTAAGGGGCGCTGCCCCCTGGACCCCCGCGAGCTAACCAAGCAGCTTGACCCCCGACATACTCGGCGAAGTGGCAAAACTAGGATCGCTACAATCTGAGAAGGGTGACGGCAGCAACAATGGCGATCGTCTCGTGGTGGGTTCCCCAAAACAAAGGCATTTCAACCCCGAAAATCAACCCCCAAATTCTCACAAGTCTCCTCCTTCTCATCTCATCCAAAACCTCCTATCCGCCAATCAATTTGAGGTATTATTTGTTGAAGAATTCATGGGAAGATTACGAAGTCAGATTTCTAAATTTACAATTCTGATTTTACTTTCAATTTTTTTGTTTTTTATACTATGTTTGGTTGGAGGATTTGGAAAAGGAAAAAGAAAATGTAAGTGAAATGTGAATAAAATATACCTAATTTAGACGTTGTTTATGCTATGTATAATAATTTTTTTATTTTAGGATATATAAAGTTGCCACGTGGCATGAGGGGGGGGGGGAAAGGCTTCACTAAACTATTTTAGGCTTTCACTTAATAATAGTAAAGATATATTGCCGGTAAAAGGAAAGAAAGAAAGAAAAAAAACACACAATTCTCAACCCCTCTCTCCCTCTCAAAATAAATCAAACCTTTATTTAAAAAGAATATAAATCTCATGCAATCTTCTCTCTCCTAAAATAAATCTAATAAAAAAAAAACTCTCTCACCTCTCATAAAATGTATACTATTAATATCTTTCACAACTGGTCTGATCTATAAAAACCTAAAATTTAGCCTAACATAAAATAAAAATTAAACCTCATATCTAGATTCTCTCTCTATTCCATGATTAAACACAATTGTATTCCCAAATAAATTTAAGCATATCTATACTATATATATATATATATATATTTTTAAAATCTCATGATTTATTATTTTTTTACGATGATTCCATGATTTATAATATAGAAAAGAAAATATGAAAAAAAATTATTCTTGTGTACTCTTTCGCTAACCAACTCTTTCTTCTATCAAAAAATCTTAGCCGTCATCCATTATACTTTTTCTAAGCCTTTCATGTCTTCCTCGCCCTATAAATCTTACATACATGGAACGATGAAACTCATTATTTTTTAAATTTATTTTTATGAGACAATTTAGAGATTAGTTTATATTTAATCTATTATATTCTTTAAACGGACTCTTTTATCCTTTAGGTATACCACTTTTTCTTTTTCTTTTTCTATTATACCTATGACCATTTTTTTGTTTTTGTATTTCATATTTTGTATGTCGTTTCTCCTTCCTCTATAACCATTATTTGTTTTTTTGTTTATAACTATTTTTTGTTGGTTAGTTTTGTTTTACTAGAATTTTCATACTAAAATGGCGTGATAGGGTCATTTGTATAATAAAAAACATGTCACTCATTATAAAGTGATAGATCAAAATTCAAACAAAATCATTATTAGTAAGTTTTTTGTATTGATTTTATGTTTGTATATCATTACTTTTTTATTAAATAAAAAAAAATTATTTTTAATATTTTTTTGATATCATGATATGTGTCAATTGACAGTTGGTGTATTATTTCAAATGCATATAATAGTTTTTCGGAGCTATAAAAAGAAAATGTAAATTTTAATCAATTTTTTCAAAACTATTTAAAGTGTTAGTCAATTATTTAATTAATTATTTATCTTTAATATGTGCAGTTTCTCTTTTTCTTTATGGTACTTCTCTTTCTCTACTTCATTGCGATTCACTGCGAGTTCATATGTTTTTAGAAGAAAAAAAAAATCATAAGTAATTTAAAATTTTGAATATACAAAGGAAGTTAAAATATAAATTTCGGAATTTAAAATGTAACTATACAAAACCATATCCTTTTAAATATAGTTATATTTATAATTAATTTTAATATATCTATTACGTATTCTTATTTATATTATTATATAAATAAAAATGTTGTACGAAAATTGAAGTTCAAAGTCCTCATCTATTTTTTTTTTCAAAATTTAAAACTATTAAAAAGCATATGTTGCAATATCATTAATTTCTCACTTTTATAAATTATATTTTAAATCTTAAGATTTGTTTAATGACTAATATTCAACTTTTGTAAAAAAATTTCAATATATTCCTTCAAAAAATTAATATAGCAAGTCTACAAAATCATATTTTAAAACTCAAAATTATTAATATTTTTATTTATTTTTTTTATTTTTTTAAATAAGCATGTTAAACTATAAATAGATATCCAAATAAAATTACATTTATTAAAAGATGTGGAATTAGTTTTAATTGTAATCACATCTTTTTAAAGTCTTTATTCATTTTTTAACTTTTTTTTTTGATATTTTAAATTACATGTTACGATAATTTTTTTTTTATTCATTAAGTTTTTAAAATTTCTTTAATTATTTCCCTTTCAAAAACCAATATAACAATTTTTTAAAATTCATATATTTTTATTCTAAAATAGAGAAGTATTAGAACTATGTCATTTTTTTTATGACAAACCACAATTTTAATTGTTAATTGTCAATACAACAATTTTAATCTGTCCATACTATATATTATAGTAAAAGAACATTTAAAACAAAACTCTTAGACTTATATATAAAATTTTATTTACGAGAA